GATGAGGATGAGGAGAGGAAGGACTAGACCGAGAGATGAGGATGAGGCGATGAAGGGCCAGAGCGAGTGATGACTGAACCTGGACATGAACAGTCGGGTTCAGCCCCCAGGCCTTGGCAGTTGCCGTGGCAACGGTTTACTCACGACCCACTTCCATCCTCTGAGCCGCCTCTCTCGTCTCTGACGAGCACACAGAGGGACAGAACCAAGGTCCAGACCCAGAAAGCGTCATGTTCCTTATTGGCAGCTGCGGCTCTAGCTGTGTGAACATTTTGGCTTCGTTCTCGTTGTTCAGCTCGTAACTTGTTCTCTATTTTTTCTGTTATTTCAACACTTCATCTCTGAAAACGTTCGGCTCCTTCAGGACGTTCCTGATCTAAATTCTGGTTTTTGTGCAGCTTTTACTTTTTGAATTATTTAGCTTTGTCGGCCATGTTTTTCTTATTGAAAATGAACAGAGCTCTCTTCGCCCAATTCAAACCTTCAGCTTTTTCAGCTACTCTTAGATATTTTTCAATGTTTAGCTGTTTTCTTGGCTTTCTTATTGAGTTATTATTTCTAATTTCCTACTTTTGTGATTCTTCATTCAAAGTTTTATTGCCTTTTTCAGCCTTTTGCTGCTAATTTCAGTAAAATATGTTTTTTCAGCTAATTTGATCTAATTTCAGATATTTGTAATCTATTCAGCTTTGTCTAAAAATTTCAGATGTTTTTCTGCTGTTTTCAGCTTCTTCATCATGTTTCAGCCTTTTCAGCTGGTTTCAGCCTCTTCAGCTGGTTTCAGCTTCTTAAGCTAGTTTCAGCTTCATCAGCTGGTTTCAGCTTCTTCATCTGGTTTCAGCTTCTTCAGCTGATTTCAGCAGAAATCTTTCAGCAACAAGTGATTTGACAGGAGGTGACATTACTCTAATTTCGGTTGAGACTTATTAAACAGGAAGTCCAACAGGCCGAAATGTTTCGGCTTTTTTTTTTTTTTTTTTTTTAGCCTTGAACGTTTTTGTGGACGATGACCTCACATTCGACTCTGTAAACATAATTCTTGATGTTTTGTTGCAGTTTAAACCTTTAGCTGATCTGTTTGTACTTCTTGAACAGATCCCTCTGATAACGGTCATTTTTAAGACGGACGTCTCCGTCAGCAGAAAAGAGCTGAAACCCTCAGATTAAATTCTTTAGTTTTATTTTGTGGTTTTATTTTCAGCTCTGCTTCCGTCTCAAACTGCACCTTTAAAAATAAAATCCCTCGTCTTGTTGAAAGTTTAAAAAGGTCTTTTTCTTCACATTCAGGCACCGATGGGACAAATGAGGCCCGGCGGGCTGCTGGAAACAGAACCTGTCACCCATCATGACATCGTTTGTGCTCCTGTCAATCACCCGACGCCCACATCGTGAAATAATCCGCCTCTTGCGCACAAACAGGAATAAATGTCTTGTAATCCGGCTGAACGGAGCCTAATCTGCCAGGAATAACAGCTTTAATGAATATTTCAGAGGCCGATCCGGTCGCTGCTGCACGATCCCCTCACTGAGGGGGGGGGGGTTAGGAAACAACAAAAGGTGATGAGGAGAAGGGAGGGGCTTGTTCACCTGTGGCCCAGAGGAAAAGGAAAGACCGTCTCTCATGGCTCAGGACATGTCAAAATAAAAGTCTTAACAGGAAGTACGTTTAAGACAAAAAGAGGCTCTAAAAGTTTCTTCTCCAAAGTTTCGTCTCAACTTTCACCTTCCTGGATGAAGCATCTCGTGACCAGCGGGTCCACAGCCTCATCGGTCAGATTAAACGACCATCACACAACCAGAGCTCAGTGTCACGCACACTCCAGTTTGACCCTGTGACTACCTCCATCGCCTGTTTCTGAACCTTCACAGGAAGCCCGAGGGCTGTGAAACGAAGACCTCCTTAAAGTCTTCAGGACTCAGAACACCAACCATGACGTCTCTGCACAGACCTGACTTAGTGTAGACCTGACCCTGATCTGGTGTAGACCTGATCCTGACTTGGTGTAGACCTGACCCTGATCTGGTGTAGACCTGATCCTGACCTGGTGTAGACCTGACCATTATCAGGTTTAGACCTGACCCTGACTTGGTGTAGACCTGACCCTTATCTGGTGTAGACCTGACCCTGACTTGGTGTAGACCTGATCCTGACCTGGTGTAGACGTGACCATTATCAGGTTTAGACCTGACCCTGGTCTGGTGTAGACCTGACCCTGACTTGGTGTAGACCTGACCCTGACCTGGTGTAGACCTGGCCCTGACCTGGTGTAGACCTGATCCTGACTTGGTGTAGACCTGACCCTTATCTGGTGTAGACCTGACCCTGATCTGGTGTAGACCTGACCCTTATCTGGTGTAGACCTGACCCTTATCTGGTGTAGACCTGACCCTGACCTCATGTGTTCAGGAACTCCCTGCAGTTGTGCAGTTCTCAGGTCAGCCAGGGTCCAGGCGTAACGGAGCTTAATGGACTGAATGGCTTTTAAATCCCGTGCTCTGAGCGGCGTCAGGCGATCAGAGCGTTCACTCGTCTAATCAGGGCAAAGATCCTTCGCTGACAATGATCAATTAGTAACGGTGGACACTAACGAGATCACAGCTTTTATTTCATCGGCTCTGAAAACTAAAGAACAACCTGAGCCTGAGACGGACCCAGTTTCTGTCGGTTTGAAGGTTCAGTTCCGGCGGTTCTGTTCCCGAGGCTTGGAAACAGGACTCTGTTCCAGATCTGAGTCCTGCGTGTTCACAACCCGCTCAGACGCCTCAGAACCGAAACGTCAAGCGAGAGCACCGTTCACCTTTCTTTTATAAACGGAGAAAAGAAGGTCTCTTCCTGCGTTCAGACCTGAACACACATGGACAGAACCTCTCCAGAACCTCTCCAGAACCTCTCCAGGCTTCGTCAATGCTCGAAAAACAAGGAAGTGAGTAACGTCTGGAGTTGAAAATGTTACAGGAGGACTGCTTTGAGTTTTAAACTCTAGCCCTGATGAGAGTCCCGTCCCGGTCCAGGACCAAAGTTCTGATCCGCTTCACGCTAACAGAAACTCAACGAAACGTGAAATGGCCCGACGGCCACGAGAGCTGCGCCTCCGTGGTTACACAACCAGCTCAGCTGAAGTCCCTCCGATGCGTTTCATGTTCCCTCAACGTTTCTTCTTCCAACACGTGAAGTTATAAAACGGAGAGAACTCGCAGGATTGAAGGGACGCACCGAAGGAGCCGCAGCAAGCGGTGCGTCCATGTCCCTGTCTCTGAGGGACGTCAGCAGAGACGTCTCAGGGTCAAAGTCCGTCCACTGGTGTCAAAGCTGAAGGTGTTTCATCGTGCGCAGCTTGGACCCGTCACGCAGGAGCAGCTCGGCTCGCTGCCGGCTCCAGCTGAGGTGGGACCAGAAGACGAGACTCAAGTGTTTCTAGGTCCGTTCGAACGAGGCGGACCGAGCAGAGCCAGCATCGTCCAGGCCTGCCGTTATCAGCGCCAGCCTTGGTCTGTGACGGCGAGCAGACCGGTCCTCAGCGGGGGGCGGAGGGAAACCAGAGGCCGGCGTTCCTCAGGAACAAGGCGCCAAGCTGCCGCTCGCAGAGCGACGTGCGAGCAGCAGAAGACCGAAGGAAGGCGTTTCAGTGACGCCTGGACGCTCCTTCAAGGTTCAAGCTGTTCCAAACCAGAGAGTTGTTTCCTCCACGAGAAGCCACCGAAGCTTCCTGAACCAAAGAAGAGTTTGGATGAAGCTACTGCGTCAGTATCGGCGTTTCTGTCTCAGTGAAAGTTTGTCTTTCATAGTCACTCCTGCACGAGCAACATTTTTAATCTTCAACGCCGTCTGAGAAGGCACATACAAGATGCTACATTTAAATTCATTTTTTAAACTAAACCGATATTTTCTATGTAGTTTTTCTTATTTTTGGCTTACTTCTGTAAACTACT